GTTATTAATTAATGTTTTTATTTAGAAAAAATTTTTGGTGCTTAGACATGATTTTTTGAATATAAAACAGGACCTAAACAATGCTCCAAACATACTTGAGTCAGTGAAATTTTATGCAGAATAATGGTTAAATCAAGAACTCATGGATTTTCATTCCAAATGAGTGAGTACTACATGAGGAATGAAAGATAGATACCGATTACTTGAGTTGTAGTTTTAAAAATAGCCGCAAGAGGGCGACATTTCCCTACCTAAAACATGAGCCAAAGAGCCAAAAAAAGACAAGATAAGTAACCTCCTAGTATTTTCGTTGTTGTTCCTAAATCTCCATGGGMTGTTTTGGCTAATATTTAAACTTCAGCTTCTTGGAACGTCTTTATTCTTGTTCACCTCCATCTACTTGTGTTGTACATATGCTATGTAATATTTCATTTACCAAATCCACACCTGTTTTTGTTTCACTAATAGTGCTTTATATTACTACATTATAGTTAATATTCAAACACTTTTTCAAATAATAGAGTGGAAATGTTTTACAAGAGCAGATTAAAATAAAGCCAAGAATCATTAAAAAAAGATTATTTTGAAATTCATTAAAAGCAAGCAGGCAAATACTTTATTTGCAAAGATTTTTATGCACATCTTCAGTGAGAAAAATCAGCACAAACACAAACACACACGAGCCAACACTGTTTAATTATCTGTTTAATTTGGAACTGCACTTTATTGACTCATTTTAATGTGTAATTTACAGAGCAGAGAGTGAAATTTAGACACTAAGCAGGCAGCAGAGTAGCTTTAAATAATTCAAAACGGGATTTTTTTTTTCATGGCAGAAGATCAAGCGTGACTCCTGCATTGAGAGCTGATCAGTGAAATTCTCTTATATAAACTGGCTACTCTACCAGATAAACTGACATTTTTATAACACATCCATGCTACTAATCACCGACAGAATCTCAGTATAACAATTTAATTTTTTTACTAATGATCAGCAAAAACAAAGAATGAGCAATAATCWGATTTTTCTTGTAACTAATATCCAAAATCCAGCTTGTTGACCACTGAGCCATGGGAAGTTCTGGGACTGTTTTTTGGGTGTCACTTGGTCTTTTTTGTGTCTATAAAAGCCATATACAAAGAGATATGGAAAAACTTTGAAAGGTGACCCCCCCACTCCCCCCTTGAGGCTCTGAATCAATGTGTTTGTGTGGCAGCTTCAGTCCATGCACCCAAAGCAGGACGGGTTGGCACATACTTCACAAGGATCTGACGACAGGAGGATGTACTCTGCAGAGGGTAAAAGAAAAAAAAAAAAGAGAAGGAATAAGTATCCATCTGACCTTTTCTCCCACTCATGGACTAGCRTTTCAGTTTAATAAAACACTGAGACGATGGGATCAATTTCAGTTTCAAGAGAGCAACAAGTGCGCTTTCCGAGTCTAATGAGGTTTAGTGGCCCCCAAAGGCTATTTGCTCAGCTTTTCATAAGCCTCCTCTGTGGCATTATCATTCCAGAGCCACTTTATGGTGTGGAAGTTGCAGGGCGTGGATAATRCAACGTGTAAACAGTGAAATATAGGAATCCACTTGAGCAAACCAAACTTGACCAGAGTGTCTTGAAAAACAATGCCACGAGTGTTACAAAGAAAGGTTAAAAAGCAACTCGAGGAACACGTGTGGGGCTGGCTCTTTCATTAATGTCACAAAAACCAAATACAGACGCCGCCGCTGACAGGAACATGAGGAAGAGCTCAGGTGGCYGAGGAGGCCACTTGATAAAAACTGTTTGACTTTTGGGAAGTGCGGTTGTTCATTTTCATCTTGAGATTTGAAGAWACAATTTCTCTGATGGTTGCATGGTTTTCAAAAAAAGTCAGTTAACTTAGATTTTCAGAAGACCAAAGGTTTCTATGCATGTTTTGATTAATCTATTTCCAATATTTCCCCYTCCTTATTTAGCAACTTGTTGCATAGGCCTACTTGATCCATTCTCCTTAAAGTCAAAGTAGTCTTGGCGGTTTTCAGCTGTCAAAAAGTCTCATGAAAAGCCTAAAATCTGCCCCATGGTTGCACAAAGTTCATTTCAAGCCAATCTATAAAAACCAAGAAAATCTGAGCAATAAATATTTCTCAGATTGCAGCTAATAAGCACCAACATTAGCTCCATTTACATCTGTTTCTCTTCAAAAACCACACTGCAAAGCTGTCTGATGCCGTTGTGCTGCAGGATTATTTTTGAAGAAAAAAAATCAAGGTTTTATTTGCAAAGATGCACATTTTATCGAAAAAGACTTGGGCATGTAGGGAGATAAGGAGAAAGTCTAAACAGCAAATAAAAGGTCTCTGGGTTTAGCTCTTTTTGTGTGGTAAATAATAAAAGAGACAATAATTTTTTTGTTTAAATATTAATGTTTTGAAATAAAAAAACACCTCTTTTAAATTAATAACATTTTGTTATGATCATAGCCTTGCAGCCAAAGTAACTCCTGACATGAATTGATATCTGCAGGATGAAAAAGGGGCTCATTTGCATTTATATGGAGGTCAAAAAGTATATTTGATGCAGCTTAGTGATAGAGGTATTAAAATACAATGATGTTTTTCTAAAAGACAAAAAAATCTTTTTGTCTGTTTCATATATCTGTTTATTTCCACTCGGCTTAGCCTTACCCAGTCTGGAGAAAACAATCCCGGCCCCCTTCCCTTGGCACACGGGACGAAACACCTGAGGCAGGAGAGGGTGGGCGCAGACCGCCGCGGTGCTCGTCTCTGCAAGGCGAGGGTTGATGCTGTCCTCCAAATCCATCAGCTCCTTCAGCTGCTTCACAGCTTCCAACGGGAAGCTCCTGTCTCCAACCTGCAGGGGGRAATTCAAGAAGAGGCTTCAGGGATAACAAAAGGGTTGCACAATCTTAATTTTCCACACGCACGACACTTTGAATGAAAAACAGCGGACAAAACCTATTTTTAAGTTTGACAAAATGATAGATTATTTTTTTTTTTTGCATTTTCACAAGATTTAGGATTTGCCCCTTTCATGGCAAGTATGGGGAAAAAAAAGTCAATTATGAAGACACAGAAACACACAAAACCTTTAAACTCACCATGACCTGCACACTCAGAGCCTCCCTCCACACACAGACCAGYAAAACAACAACACAGACGACTCTCATTTTCACATAAGAGGACAGCTTTCAGCTCAGAGCCACGTTTCTTCTCTGCTGCCGGTCGTCCTGCTCTGCCTCCTTAAATACCACCGATTATTCAGTGATTTATTAACAAAAACCACTTGTCACTGAAGTTARAGGAAGATAACTGCAGCCACTGTTTACGGACAAGCAAAAGACTGAATGTACAGTTTTTTTAAATAACCTATTTGATTTACAGCATCTCTGTTGCCATTTGTTTCCAACATTCATCCACGCCGTTCACTCCATCGTTTTATTCCACTGTTGACTTTCGAATCTACGCAGCGCCACCCAATAAATCTCATCTTCTGACGTTTTCTCACAGATGTGCTTCTTAGAAATGCTGCATAAAAAGCTCAACCACGTATTTGTTTAAACGCCTGCGATGTTTGCAAAAGTTGACATTTCCCATCAACTTTATGTGTGTGTGTGTGTGTGTGTGTGTGTGTGTGTGTGTGTGTGTGTGCACGCCTAACTGAAGTTCCTCTAAATTAAAGCCACTTTTAGTTCTTTTAGTAAAAAACGTTTTTGCATTACAATATGAACTTATTGCAAGTTTTTGCAGTATATGGAACCCCCACTCCCACCCCCATTATACATTGTATGCCACCTATTTTTAATTYGAAACCAATTTTCAATTGGAACATAGTTTAATTTTTGGAGAAACACATCTAAAGATAAAACAGTAAGGCAGGGATAAAGTTATAAAAAGAACCTTGTGTGGAGAGTGGCTCAGATTTATGATCCTTGATATTCTTCTGCAGCTTTCCRTGCAGGTAAATACAATGTGTACAGATTCCTCTGCAAGTGAGCAAACAAAAAAATCTCCTTAACAACAAAAAGAACTCCTTGCACTGTGTTATCAGTCCCAGTTTGAGAATGCCTTGCTTTGAAAAGAAAGCGTTGTTTCTTTTGCTTGTATGCGTCTGAGTTAGTGTGGATTTGTCGGGTTGCTGTGCCAACAAAATAGGTTTTCTGGGGTTTTTATTTTTTTTGAAGCGGAGCAGAACAAAAAGTAAAATCACTCGAGTAGAGCACAAGATTCTGTTTTTCTGTTTGGCAGCCATTTAGAGGACAAAAAGCAATCAAACAATATAATATGAGAAAGTAAAATATCCCAAATTGCTCTACTCAGTGTTTCTGAGATGGACTGTCTTTGGTTCTTCTGCAGCACTCTGTGGATCTTTTGTTTTTAAATAAACATCTGTTTTTTATTTGCTATAATTCTAACTGAAACAGAACTTAGCAGATAAACGAATGCAAACATGWTGGCCTTTGCTACAAAAGGTTAATCTCTTATACAGTCTGAAGAAAACTGACAGACCAATCATCATAGTTAGGCTCTACAACAGGGCCTACAAAATTCATAAAAAACTTCCTAGTTGGACTCATCACTGTACAGTTCTTTCATTGTCTGATGCCTTGACTTTTCAGAATTATGTTTTGTATAGTGGTATTRATTTATATTTTCAGATCTTCCAAGGTGCCAATTATGGAACTCTCTGTGCATTGTTGCCCAGGTCAAATTCTGGAAGTGGTCGTTCAACTAGATCTGTTACAAAAGGACAACTGACATTACCAAATTTTAAAAACTGTTACGGCCAGAGGTCTTTCTTCTATGTTTATACTAAAGCATGGAATGACATTCCTCAAAACATAAAGTCCATTTCAAAACTGCAGCCCTTTAAGAAGAATCTTGTCTGCCATCTGCTGGACACTTTTTGTTGTGCTCAYATTTAGACGTCCTATTTTGCAAATGCTGCCTTCCTGAAATTTGGTATGCTTGTTTGTCTCTATGGTGTATAATGATGTGATTGTGATGCTGTATTTCTGAGTGTTTTATGTGCTGCAGAACAGGAACCTGCTGTAAAACAGCAATTATGCTGAGTCAGGCTTGATTTTAATAAYCTTTTCCTGTTAAATCAATAAATCAAAATCAAATCAATCAGAGAGGAGCGCTCTGTAGATTCAAAGTAGGAGTTWCTCAAGTGAAAACACTGATTGGCTAGTTGTATTTGTTCTGTTTTTTGTAAAAGGTTGGTTCTTCTCTTTCACGTTTTACACTTTCACGTTAATTTTAGCAGCCAAAACGGATGTACCACTAAAAACAAAAATGTAGTTTTCACATTTCTAAATATCTTATAAAAAACCACTGCAGACTGATGTCGCTCTTATTTTGAAATTTAACAGGGAGATTTTTGTTAAGAGAAGCTGAGATAATGAAGACGTTGAGTCCAACATTGGTGATGTCTTCATATAAACCTATAATAAGGCTGGTTAAAACAATCTGCCTGTTGTTATTATTCCAAAGTGATGACCTATCCTCAACAGCAAGTTCATAAAACTAAATAAATAAATGAAAGTCGGATGTTAGAAAAGTCAGCTAATGATATAAAGAAAGGCCTAAGCAACGATCATCCAATCCAGTGGTGTCCTTGAGTATAACGCCCCCTTTTTTGATCTTCCAATCTGGTGTGTCCCTTGAAAAAAGCATTCCTTTGGAAACGCCTACTCGTCTGCAGATACTTGATCATCATGGGTGCATTCAAATTCTTACCAAAATCTACAAGTTTGTCTAGACAAATATAGCCTATTTGTTTTTTTTAAATAAAGCAACCCAAAAATGGGTGGAACTGAAAAAAAAAAAACCCTTAAAGTGTGAAAAATAGCTGCCAAAACTCAAAAGTGAGTGACTTTTCTGACCAAAAATGATGAGGCAAAAATCCTGTGCATCTAAACTGAAGAGATTGTTTTYGGTGCGAAGGAGTAGCTGTCCTCCTGGGCCGACATCTGTGAGTCACAGCTCTTCAGCCGACAACGAAAGGCCAATTTGTGGTTGTCTCCTCTGTGGGTGTGAGCTGATTGGCACTCCGCTGACGAGCACGTTTCTATTTGTGCCATGGTTTGTGTCAGCTGCACTGAAGCTTCCCACTCATGCACATCAGTTGATCTACAATTTCCCCCTCTTCAGTCCAAACCTTCCTGCAAAGTTTCTTTTCAAAACAAGTGTCCGTGTTGTTTTTCCCATATCCCGCTCTACTTTGGGCTGCATGTTTTTTTCTTTTGCATAGGAGATTGATGGAGGAGCATGCATGGGCGTGCTTTTCATTATCAAAAGCACAAGCGCAGGTGTCCAGTTCATCACAGAGACAGGCGACCGTGCAGCGTCGCTCCTCCGACATATGGGCAAAAATTAACCTCATTGTCTTTTCTCTGCAGCGCCTGGACAAAAACAAATAGATCTGATTTTTCTTAAACTTCCAAACACAAGAAAGCAAAGATCAAGCTAGAAACATAGACAGTCAGTAAAAGAATCATTTATCAGGAAAATTACAGTAATCCAAAATTAACCTCGGGACACCAAGACCTTTCATTTGGTTTTCTCTTGCTAATGTTGCACATGGCTGCAGAGCAAATAATAAAAAATGTCTTTCCTGTCTCAGAGCACTGTGATGACAGTAAGCACCCGACTGAAGACTGCGACAGCATGAAATACAAAACCACAATTAAACCTGTTCTGTGGTGTCACAACACACAGATGTTGACATTTTTTTAAGTATTGTTGGAAAAGAATCAAAACACTGTAAGCTTTCAGAGATTTTTCCACTGAGTGAGAGTTATGCTACTTTTAATGGACAAGAAGCTGCTGTGGAAACCTTACAGTGCAAATGAAGATAAAACAAGGATCATGTTGACAATGAAGGCCATGAATAGTTCTGTCAGCTGAGCTGACCCAGTCGAACCCCTTTTCCTTTCATTTTTACAACTCAGCACGTTGTTTCCTGAACTGAGACCCTGACCCTGATGGCTAAAGGGAAAAGTTGAAAAGTTTGAGTTGGTTATCAGCTGCTTTTCTCTCCCTAGTTCCCATTTTCAGCCTAATACTTGTTCAAGTAAATGATAGAAAACAACAAACAGGACCGGTTAGACTGATAGTAATCTCATTATTACTTTAATTATGCCRCCTCAGCAAACATGAAACCTCTAGAATAGCCGGGGCTCTGCACCGACACTTTATCAGCATGATAACATTTAGGAGGATGGATGGGTTGCATTTTGTCTTCTGTCATGGATGCAGAACCATTAATCTTTGTTTTTTTAAAATATTAGCAGCTGTGGTCTGAATAACATGAGGCATTTTGAGCTTCTCTGCTCCTTGTCCAGTGTGATGCACATGACAGCAGACTTCCCTGTGGCTGTTTCCTTTAAATAAGCTGAATAGTTGATGAAAGGCTTGAAATCAAACTTAATTTGAAATATGACAAATATGCCAAGGTTAATAGTCTCTTTAAGAACAAACCTGTTCAAAGTATTTTGGCAGATCTTTGCATAAAATATACACAGCGGGTAAAATAAGTTTTGAACACGTCACCATTT